TTTTTCCTTTTTTTCCTCTGTCTTCTTTAAATCTGCTGTTCAGGAGTGGTGGGATTTCTTTTACTTCTGTTTGCTCAATGTCCTATTCTTCCTTGTGTGAATCCTCTGGTTTTGTTAGATTCTGAAGCTAGAATGTAGGTTAGGGGCTATACCTTTTGCAGTTTTGAGTTTTACCTGATGAGGGAGCTGTGATTCAAAATTTATCGGCAGATCACAGTATCCACGGACGGATGTATAGATACACTGGAACTCGCTTCCCACTGCCTTGCAATCTGTTCATGAAGCGGGAGTATTAATTTATTTCCTGAAAGTAAAAGGATGTAAGAAAAGGGAAAGAAATGGAGCTGGGAGAAGGGGGGAGTGGAAGGTGGAGACAGAGAAGAGTAAAGGAAAAGAGACAAGGGTACCCACTAACATGAAAATAGTCCTGAAGACAGATAAGAGTAAGAGAAAACAAAAACAAACACAAATAAACAAACAAAAAAACAGCGACAACAACAAACAAACTAGGACATACAATCATACAGACCCACAAGCTGAACTAACTCCTTATGATGTACTATTCCCTTACACAAACATGAGGTCTTAGATCCCAAGTTGGAGGCTGGGCAGAGCTGTGTGGGCGAGGCACTGCAGGTCTCTGCCTGGTCACAGGTCTCCAGATGATCTCTGATTCTACTGCAGCCAGGTCTAGCTGGGGCCGTGTGAGACAGCCGGGTGCTGAGGGTGGGCGTGTCACATGCAACTTGGACCTACTTTTCTTTCTTTGTTCTTTGGTTCCAAGCTGGAGACTGCACAGAGCTGGGTGGAGCTCAAGGGGCAATGCAGGTCTCCGCCTGGTCTAGGAGCTCCATCTGTTCTCTGGTCCTGCTGTGGCCAGGGACATGGAGGGAGGCAGAGTTTGAGACTACAGGGCGTTGCTGGTCACCATAGTGCGCAGGGTGGCTGGGGGTGGGGTGGTACAGCCAACACGGGAGCCCAGTGCTCCAAGGTGAGAGAGCTGCAGGCCTCCCTGG